CAAACTATTTCCTATCCACGTAAGCCCCTGGCATCAGCTCCTCATTTTTTCCTCCTCCCTCCCCGCTCGCCCCTCCCCACTACCTCATGAACCCTTGATAGTTTATAAATTATTATTTTGTCATATCTTACACTGTCTGACATCTCCTTTCCTCTAGTTCTTTTTTTTTTTTTTTTCAAAAATTATTTTATTGGGGGCTCAGTACAGTTCTTATCACTTCACAATTCTGTAAGGTAAAAGTCTTCAATACTATTGGATTGTGGATTCTTATTGTCAAAGGTCATTCAAGCTATGATACACCACTGATTGGGACTAATTGGTCTTTGAAGTTTTCTAAATCTTAGTATCTAAGTATGTGGATACATTATCTCTGCCCATGAGCACATAGGTCTCATAGATTTGTTTGTTTTAATTTTTTGTGTGTTTGTTAATGATTAGTTAGTAAATTCAAAGAGATTGTTTTTATTTCAAGCCCCCCACCCTCGCACCACCACCACCCAGTGTCTCTCCCAGCATCACCACCTTTGCCCTGAAGTCCCTCTCAGCCCAGGTACCCTGGATCCAAATAATGTGTTCTGTTCATCTATTCTAAATACATCCGTTAAATTCTAGCTTTAATAATGCTTTCCTCTTGTGTGGAAATAAAATGTATGTTTATTGAATTTTGTTCAACTGATATGACATGTAAGCTCTTTTGGACAAAAAATATTAGCTAGAATCAGATGTAAACTCCCACGTAGGAGGGCGCTTCAAAAAGTTTATGGAAATTTTACATTATTTTTTAATTCAATTTTTCACAAATTTTTGAAACTCCCTAGTGCTCCCATCACCAAATTTATAAATTTTGTCATACTCTTCTCTACTAATAGCAACTGAGCAATATCCCTGTTCCTAAGAAGGGTCAACAATCTCTCATAAGCTTTGGAATCCACCATCCCATCCCCATCCAATATTCATAAATACACTCCTTTATGCTGTTAATTTTTATCTTTTATAGGCATCATCAGTTTCCCTTCTACTAATTTCATATTAATAGGTCAGCAGACTTGGGTGTCATGAAAAATCATTCTCCATATGACAGAGTCACCGGTGGTGCCAAGGACTACATGCCCATAAAATCAATAGTTCTCCAAGCAGTCTTCAGGACTCCAGGTAGGACCCTTTTCTGTCTCTAATATTTCTTCTTGGATTAGCTCGCCTATTTCTATGATTATTTTTTAACCGTTTTATTAGGACCTACTCCACATATCATACATGTCAATAGTTCAGTCACGTCCAGAAGAGTTGTACAATCATCACCACGAGCAATTTTAGAACATATTCTTCCTTCTTGTACTCCATGTCATTAGCTCCCCATTTCTCCCCACCTTCCCCCTCGGTGATTCTTTAGACATTTATTTACTGATCATTTTAGTAGCAGGAGTAGAGTGCATCTTCTGAACCTGGGAAGCCTGCACTGAGATATGCCCTGGCCATTGTGCCAGGAGAACAAGCACATCGATAACTCTCTGCATATGGATCTCGGGGTGTAGACAGGTGCTCACTTCCCCTTGTTGTGAACATTTCATGTGTTGCCAGTGCCTAGTTAAGTGTCTCACTCACTGCCAGCGAGTCCGCTCGGACTCACCGCGACTCTATAGGATGGGATAGAACTGTCCTTGTGGGCTTCCAAAACTGTAACTTTTTATGGGAGTAGAAAGCCTCATCTTTCTCCTGAGGGTCAGCTGGTGGATTCAAACTGCTGACCTTGCAGGTTGCAACCCAGTGTGTAGCCACTACATCACTAGGGTTCCTGGTGAAGGGTAGGAAAAGCAAAAGGGAGATGAGAAGGATTGACACAGTGGCAGCAACAATGGGCTCAAATGTAACAATTGCAAGGATGGCACAGCACTGGGCCTCCTATCGTTCCACAGTGCATAGGATCGTTTCACGTGGAAACCTACTGGGTGGCACCTAACAGTGCCATCACAAGCAATGCTTGGCAAACAGGTTTTACACTAATTCTGATTCATTTATTTCTGTATCTACTCTTATAAATTATATCTCCAGATCACAGACTATAATCCAAAAATCTTCTGCCATTGAGAGGATTCGATCTCATAGTGACCCTCCAGGACTCCATAATTAGTCACAGGGGAGCAGGGAACCATTTTTCTGTCAAGGGCCATTTGGATATTTATAACATCATTCGTGGGCCCTGTTGGCCAAAGACGTACTTAACGCATTCTGAATGTGACAGCCTATGGTGCGGTGGTTTTGAGTTAGGCTGCGATCCATAGGTAAACAGAGTTTGGGAAGCTCACAGGGGCAGTCTGTCTTGTCCTTTAAGGTCTCCGGCCCTGTGAGGCCCATGGGTCAGTCATCCCACTGCCACAGGGAATCCAGGCCCCGAGAGTTTCGAAGGCTGTCCAGTTTATAACATCATCTCTCACCCCAGAGTCCCCGGTGTGTCCTGCTAGTGAGTGGTCCAGTGCTTAGTCTGCTGCGCCACCAGCAGTCCCCTTCATAGACAATAAATACCTCTAATTTTAATAAACATTTTTAGATGATGTTTGAAAGTATAGCGATTTGCACCTTTCAACCACACTATCTAATCAGAATTGACTGAATGGCAGCGGGTTTGGTCTCTGGTTTTACCAACATTGAATGTTATTCTTTTATCTTTGCCAATTTAATAGGTCAAATACGAAGTCTTTGCGGCACCTCTCTTTCCTCTTCCATGTCACAAGCAGTAACGCTGAACATGTTGTCCTATCTTTATTGACCATTTGGATTTCTTCCTCTACGAATTACATAATTACAAATGTCACTCTTTTCCCTTATCTAATTGTACTCGTTGCATTTTGAATAAAGTTCGAACGCTTCCAGGGTTTAGAAATCGCGGCAGGGTACCACTGCTGCCCACATTTCTGACCTCACCTGGTTCTCTCAAGAAGCCCAGGCTACAATTGGCCTCATTTCCGTTCCTCGGGACCTTAGCACTTTTTAACCTCTACCTAGTCAGCTGCTCAGAAGCCCTGGTGGCTTAGTCGTTTTCCACTGGGCCGTTAACTGCAAGGTGGCCAGTTTGAAACTACCAGCCGCTCCGCGAGAGAAAGACGAGGCTTTCTACTCTGGTAAGGAGTTACAGTCTTGGAAACCCACGGGGGCAGTTCTACTTGATGGTAGCGAGTCTTAAGTCAGCTCCTCATATAGACTCACTATGAGTCGGCGAGTTCGGTTAGGGTTGAGTCAGCTACGCCTGTGCTTTTTGCACTTGGCTCCTTCTCGTCCTCCAAGTGTGCCTTAAACGTTGCCTGCTTGGAGACCACTTTTCTTACCACCTAACCTGCATGTGCCCTTCTATTAGTCTCTTGACCCTCCACTATTTGAAAAAGCAGCACAAGAATTGCTTATCTTATTTCATGAGATAATAGTTCCAACACATTCCACTGTTTCATCTTTACAAAAACAAAACCCACACATACATAAAACTAACAACACCTTAAATCATATAGGTCTATATCGTACATACAACCTCAAAATCAGCAAAGAAAACTCTCCCATAGGAAAATATATAATGAGAAATAGGCTTTTTATGCAAAGTCCACAAAAAATATTTTAAACTATAGGTAATAGGAAAGACCCTGAATGTGTGCGTGGGGAGGTATAAGGGAAGGGACCCAGAAATACTAAGCAATTCCCAGGTCTTTCTGCATCTGATTCCTTTCAACTCTGGTCTCTTCTTGGCTCATTAGAAATTTAACTGGCAAAGAAGGCTACAGTGAATGCGTTCAATTAACACATACGTGCGGTATTTGACACATTTTTATAGTTGCCGTTTTCGTGACTTTCCTTTTACAATCAGTGATAGTACTGCATTTACTTAACTTGAAAAAATTGATTTAAGTTTTAGGCTTTTCTTTATTTAAAAACCCGGTTTCGGCCCCAAATACCTGGCTCAGCTCACAACTAGAGACAGAGCATCAAATTTCCCAGCCCACTTAATTTGAAAGCCTGCCAAGATAGGTGAAAGGCCTTATAAATATGTAAAGCAGGAAGTTCAAATTACAGTCAAGTGAATCTCTAGTGATTGATTTTCTTTACAAAACAATTAAAATAATAATAATAATAAGCTGCAAATTTCTAAGACTCCCTTTACCGGTGGTTTCCCCCGAGTTCAAACTTGACATTGTCCTTTCAGTACTGTATTTATTTTGGATTTTCACCACTTCCTGGAGGCCAGGAGGAGGTTCAGTGGGAGGACCCACAAAACTCGGTGCCACAGCCATTTTGTTTGTACGGTGGAGTGGTAGGAGACTGCCAGCCAGTCAGGGTTTTTGAAACACAAAATTTTAAGGAAAAAAGAAAAGCCTGCCTCTCTGTGTACATCTCTATGTTCCCAAAATAACCACAAAAATACTTATTTTAATATTGTTTTTCCTGCACAAATGGTAGTCATTATATTTAACAAATGATCGACACCCCCCTCCCCCCGCCCAAGGAACTACAGGACTCGGAGCCAGAGCAATCGTGAATTTCATCCCAGGAAGATTGCCTTCTTGAGATCCCTTCAAGAGTCAAATCAAAATGGTCTTTTCACGGAAAGGGTTTTTCAGCGGCCCTCTCGGCAGCCAAACGGGCGATCTTGAAGGACTAAGCCATTTGCTTCAGAGAAGCACGTTTTTCTGTTCAAACGTCCGTGCAAGAAACGAGCGTGTGCCTGAAGACGTGAACAGGGCATTTTCCGGAGCGAAAAGGCCGTCGTGAAGCCTATTGTTTTGCAGTGTCACTTCATAGCGAGCCTAGACTTTTGTCATCGGGGCGGCTGCGCTTTTAAAAGGCCAGTGTAAAATGGCACACACGCTGCATTTTCCTGGGCTGCAGCGGGCGGGGGCCGCGGGGGATCGTGCAGACGGAGGGACACTGGCCTCGCGGCCAATCAGAGCGCGCCTGTTTGCCTTCGCAAAGTTGTTAACCCGGAGTCTTCTGGCTGCCGCTGCCTCCTCGCCTTTTAGGCTTCGCTGGCTATTTCTCCGATCTTCCCAAACGCCCAGATCCTGGGGGAAGCCACCCTCTTCGGCCACCGATCGTGGAAGAAAGTCTTACTTTGTGTCTACCCAATATTTCTAAGATGTTTGAAGATCCGTCTGCCGCATGGAGGCTGTCGTTCCTAGGGACACAAGTATCCAGCCTATATTGTTACCATTATTTCGCCCCAACTGGCCTCTTCGCTGCCTACACTAATGGTAAGTTTGTAGTTTTAAACATGTATGTCAGTAAGTCTTTGAATGAGCCACCGGGTACAAGGGATTTTCATTGTGTTTCCGCTAACAAAAAGCAATCTTGGTGTTTTTTCGGTAGCTTTGGGCATTGCAGACTCCACTTAATCTTCTCTGGTTAATTTTTAGCAAAAGAAAAAGATATAGGTTGCTCCCCCAACCCCCTTTTGTTAAAGCCGAATATTTATATAAATTATATACTTTAATTACTGTGAACTACAGGAGAACTCAGATATTTCAAGATGGACTTGTTTTGTGCCAGAAATGCTGGTAATGCCAAATATGTGCATATCCTCTTTATAAAAATTATGTATTACCTAATTTGTCCTGGACTGCATTATCAGCAGATAAACTATGAATGTAGTTTTTAAAAAAGAAAAGAAAGGGGGGGAGGGGGCTATTGTGGTTCTCTCGATGGATTACTTCAACACAAACTACAGAAAAGCTGCCCTTGGTATAATGAAGGTGGAGATTGACATAACCGGGTTTATATTAAGTTATGGCTGTCACTAAATAGTGGATCTTTTATTTGCCGATCAGATCTAAACTTGTAGTCCATGGGATTATTTCTTTGAAGCCCCTCATTACGTGATTTTTTACAGATCGATCTTGATTTTCTCCAAAAAAGGTAGATTTGGGAGACATTTTGTAATTTGGGGCATTTTTTCTAATTTTTTTTTCTTCTTTTTTGCACACGGTGGGAGATCTTTTTTGTTTTGCATTGATCTGTGTTGGTGGCGCTGTAGTGCTCTTCAACAATTTATGTCAGTTTCACTAAAAGAAAAAGGGAGGAAAAAAAGAGGTGGGGCAAGATTTGATCTATTATCTTATCCCTTTATTTCCTCAAAGAAAGTTGAATTTAGTCCGGGGGAATTATTCCGCTGTATTATCTAAATGTTTGCCGTGAACTGTGGATGAGAGTAGACATGTCGTCACAGCCAGTCTAAGGCATAGCAGCGACAGGCTTGCAGTTTGCAGTTTTGTTTTATCTGATCTAGTTGATTATCTCTAGATCAGAATTCTTCAATAATAAGCTGTCGTTTTCCTCAATAATATTTTGTATTTTACTCATGCTCCACTATCACACCATCTTTTCAATGTAACAAAATTGTTGGAGTTTTAGTTCACTGAACGTGGTAAAAGTTGAATTTCATTTTGATCCCAGGGATTTCTTAAATAACTATTCTAAGTTTCTCCTGAGAATTTTCTAGTACTTTGATGCTTCATAATGCCTACATTATTTATTTATTTATTTCAACATGATATTTCGGGTGAGTTCATGTACATCCTTGTTTTAAAGAAAAGATTTTTGGCCTAAGGTAATTTCATAAAATATGTGCTTCTGCTTCTGATTTTCTAAACATTGATGTTCACATATCTAAGTGCATGATTAGAGCTTTTCAATCTTTGTTCTTACTGAGAGTTCTCTGATTAGAGAATATTGGATTTAGGCCCACAGCCTACCAAGAACAAAAATGTATTAGGGTATGATATAGGATTTACTGGTATATGTAGATATTTTAGTTGTTTATAAAGATAGTAAATACATCCTTCGTTCAAAAAAAAAAGTGTGAGGAATCAATAATTGTTCTTCAAAAATATTGTTTTGCCAAATAGAATTTTTAAAAATTGAAATCACCTAGACCACCTTTCCGTGTAATTTAGTGCTTGATTTCTTCAGGGAGTGAAATGTTCAGGAGTTATTAATAAGTGATATGATTTCCCTTATAATCTGTAAGTGCTCATATTAGGGTTTAATCATCTAAAATATTAAGGCAGGAAAACATATATAAATATTTAGGAGCAATATTTCTGATTTCTGTGTCCTTGTAATCTACCTTTATCAGACCCTTTCCTTCACCTTAAAAAATAATTATGTACTATACCTATATTTTGTTTATGCTCTACACCAATTTCCTTCACACTATAAAATGTGAAAATGGTTATTGTAACATATCATCTGTTTGTAAAATTCAAATGCCTTCATCAAGACTGGTTTTTGACATTACAGATTATTTATAGAATGAAATACTGCAGGTGTATATATATTATCTAGCCTTCTGGTTAAACTGCAGAGTTTAGTTCTCTGAAGTTAATCTACCAAAGAATGTATACTTTCTAACATGTTTATTGTTAAGTTATGCAGTTAGGCAGCATGGTGGTGGTTTCTGTTTTATTTAATCTGTGAAAACAATAAATATTTATATGGAATATTTTCCTTTAAAAAAAACTGATGCTATGAAGTCCATATGTAGCTATGGAATGCTCTTTGTTCTCCTACATCATTGACTATTACATCATTGATTATGAAGTAACAATTATAGTTAAACCTTCACGTCTTAAAATCATCTCTAGGTATTTGCTCTAAAAAGATTCTTCTATATGTAACTTGCAACCCAATATAAGTAAGGAGTCTTAAATCTATGAAGCTAAAGCAAATCACTATTTTACATTATTCTCCATTTTTAAACCCATCTTGTGCTTCATTTTAGCTCTCCAGTTTTTGAAAGTTAATTCCCTTTTTAACTGATAACATTTTTGTAGACATTCAGTTGCTAAATCAGGTGTGATTGTGATTAGAATTATTATAGTAAAGTATGCTTTTATAATGTGGAAAATAAAACCCTTTGTTTTTAGTATATTGAGAACTCAATCAATTTTCCATGGTAGCAGTGGCTAGTTCACGGACAATTTTTAATATTTTTTTTAAATCTTAAGATGTCATTTCACTCAACAATCACACACTTGTTTCTTTCTTGCGCATCACCTTATCAGAAATGGTAACGAGTAGCACAATCGACTATATGAAAACGTCCCTCGTTTTTCACCCTACCCATCCCTCTTCTGAAGGGAGGGGTTAACAAGTAACGAAATGGCCCCAAAACAGGTTGTAGGAAGAAAATGAAATGATGCCAAGGACATGGAGAATCTGCATATCAAATTCTAAACAAAAAACTTCAGAAAAATGAACTTGAAAATATACATCTTTGTTTAATAACAGATATAAACTGAAAAGTATATGACGATCCAATATCATATTCCAATATAATTTCCTAATTTATTAATTTGTATTTGTTCACGTACTGCTAAAGATTGAAGACATTACCAGGTCAGACAAATCTATTAGGGAAAAAGAGGTAACAAAGGGAAGAAACAATTTTTTCCAGCAATATTAGGGTGACCTAACATCCGATGCAGAAAATATTAGCCAGGATCAATATATCTTGTAATGAACTTGCTTAAAAGGAGGATAAAGAGCTACAATGCACGTCTTTGACAACCATGCCTGATATAGATCTGTGCTATTTCTTGGACATGTGACATATTTTCCATACGATTATCCCCAGCGTGGTTTTGCAAAGGAAGAGAATAGTGCACAAAATGGGAATAGTATGCCTTTGTTGTTTATCATTTTTGTTGCTGTTTATCTTTTCAAAACAATTCTCAAGCAACAAGCTAAAGAGAAAGTGAAGCAAAGATAATGATTTCTTTCTGAAAAAAGTGAAAGGTGTATTTATACTTCATATGTTCAACATGGATTTTTATTTGAGGGGATGTTTTTTGGTCTGGCCCCTTCAGTATGTGCTAAGATAGTAAAGATGCTTGCCCTCATGGCGTTTATAGTCCAATATGGTTTAAAGTGCTCAAGGATGCTTCATGTCTAAGGTCTTAGATATGCAACATTCTTATTTGAGAAGGAAAGCTAAATATTTCTGGTGTAAAAAATTTTTAAGAACTATTATCTGGTCCTGAAAGAGTCACACATGTGGAAGGGAAGGGGTCCTCATATTTTAGATATAGCCATATGGATTATACATAAATAGATGGTTACTTCTAAGAAATCCTGGTGGTGCTATCATGTAAGCATTGGACTGCTAACCTCAACGTTGGCAGTTCAAATCCACCAGGGCTCTGCTGGAGAAAGTTGAGGTTGTTTGCACCCATGAAGATTTAGAAAGCTTCAGAAATCCTATATAGCGTCACTATTGATGGCAGTGGGAAATCAAATTATTACTATTTCATCATTATTATTATTATTACATATTACTATTTCACAGCAAGATGAACAACACTAGCATATTTGCTTGAGAAGAGAGACTAAGGCAGGCCTTTTGGTTAATAATGGTTTTAGATGTGTCCATGTGAGGTCCATTTGAAGAGATCATTAAAAAGGGAAAAGCTGGTAAAGCTTAATTTTGTGATTTCCCCCCCTTTTTCTCATGATACTTCGTGATCATGAAATATCGATGTTAATATGAATTGTGACCATGAAAACAGGAAATTAAATAAAACATTGTAAAGACTATAAGCCAGAAGCCAAGCTCCAGGCCATGTAGTTGATTCCAATTCATAGTTGAGTTTACATGCTTTAGTTTATTTTACAATTTTTCATAATAATTTATGAATGTTACATATTTTTATACATAACAGAACTTTTTAAAAGACAAAGGTTTTCATGTGGAAAGATAATATAATTAGACATTTAGATAACAGTTAATTAGCTGAACACATTAGGTATGTAAGGCTGATATGATTTCTATACAGATGAATAAGAAGAAACTATCTTAAGTGGATGTAAAGGAACCCTGGTGGCCTAATGGGCTACACATTGGGTTGCTGATTGCAAAGTCAGCCGTTTGAAACCACCAGCTGCTCTGAGGGAGAAAGATGAGGCCATCCGTAAAAAATTTACAGTCTCAGATCCTCAGGGGCAGTTCACTCAGTCCTAGAAGGTTGCTATGAGTCAGAATCCACCATGAAAGAGTGGGAGAGCGTTTGGTTTTAAAGGAGCCCCTGTGTTGCGATGGTTAAAGCACCTGGCTGTAAAGCGAAAGGTCTGCGTTTCAAATCCATCAGGTGTTCTGAGTGAGAAAGGCAGACAGCTTCTGTTAAGATGTACAACCCTGGGAACCTTTGAGGCAGTGCCACCCTGTCCTATAGGGTTTTAGGAGTCAGAATCAATTCGA